AGGGGAGAGGAGGGGAGGGGAGGAGGAGGGGAGGGGAGGGAAAAGAAAAGAAAGGAAAGAGGCGAAGGTGCCAGCAGGGCAGCACTTCCTACCTGGCAACTCCCTGTCCTTGAAGGGGTCGTCCATCTTTGCACTCTTGGCTCTGGCGTCACTCTCACAGTTGGGCATCACATAGCTGAGAAGGGAGAAAGGTAGGAGGTTTGGAGAGGTTGGCAACAGAGAATACTTCAGCCACTATCGCCCAGCAAAGGTCTGTGTTGTCACCAAGCCTAGAGCCCTCAGGGTTAGCAGCAAAATGTCTCCTGTACTGTCTAGCCCCTACAAGGCCATCCCGCATCAATGTTCCCACTGACACATTTCAGATAAGTCTTTTTAGCCACTCAAGCATAATAATAGGGCCACCCTAGATGTGCACATGGGATCTTTTTTGATCCATAGAACCTGTTAACTCTGACAACATACTGATCTCATCAGGCAACTGAGACCATGTAGGTTAATACTCTTCCAAGTTCCATAGATAGAAAGAGCCAGCTCTGTGACCAGAATCTAGGTCCAGGATCTTTCTAAGGGAATCTCATCTGCTCATGAATAGAAAAGCGGGTCTCCTAGTGACCTGACTCCCACCTAACTAGGGCAGTCAAGCTGAGAAATGCTAACAGAACTGGAAGCTGGTCCTCTTATCCCAGGACCCAGTTCAGGTGCGACACAGGCTTGGGCAGGCTTACCGTGTGGAGGTCCCAGGCAGCGGGCGCCCCGTGTCCACCAGCACACACCAGCAGTAACCTGTGGACTGGTGGCACTGCACTGGCTTATAGAGCCCCCCAGGGGCACATTCAGGGATGACAATGCCCTCACGGGGATTCTGCCGGGCCTCTTCCAGGGCGCTCTGTCTCTCCTGGTCACATGAGTGGACTTTCTCTGGAAGAGAAGAAGCAGCCTCTGTGACTATAACTTCTATGCCTGGCATCCAAAGTCAAGAGCAATGACCAGGCCTGGCCCCAAGGAACTGATGGTCCAGATACTGAAGCATCACAGACAGCTGTGCCTCCCATGCCAGCCTGTGGTGAGGGGCTGGGAAGCTCAGAACAGCCCTGTGGTCATCTCCACTGCCAGGGTTCATCACCATTCCCATCAAACAGCGTCTGCTGCAGCTACGAGCCAGCCACGGACTCCAGGCTGCTCCTTCTCAGAGCAGCAGTTTGCCCTGGGGCTGGAATTTCCTCACTGTTTTCAGAGTGGTTCCTGCTGATGTACTGTCTACTGGCCCCAGGAGAGGCAGACACAGGAGCCAGGCTGCCCTGCGAGCCGACGCAGGGATGTCATGTGTAGGTAGACGCCAAGCCCAGACACAGCAGGACAGAGCACGAGCCACCAGCCTCATGCAAAGTGATGCTCACCACCCAAGAAGAACAGACACAAGAGCCAAGTTCAGCTCCTTCCCATCCTCCAACAGGCTGGACAAAATAGGCTTGCATTGATTACTCAATACTGCTTCTGTCCAGTGGGAGAGAAAACAGGCCTGGCAGGAAGGTGTCTGTGCTCAGCGGTATCAGGAACAAGTCAACATGTCTGAACATCCAAACTGGGTTGGCCCAGGCAGAGACAGTGTAAGTTCCCTGCACCAGGAATAGAGCCTCCCACCTGCACAGCCCTTACCTGAAAATTCTACCCCGTCCACAAGCCTGGCTTCCCTTGCTGTTTTTTTGGGTTTGCTTTTGTTTCTGTTTTAATTTTTAAAAAATAAATAGTGTTGGGTTTTTTTCCTTATTATAAAGAAAACTTTAAAAAGAAAAAAATTAAACAACCCCATAACCTCACCAAAGTTAACCCCTCCACCTTCCTTAGATCTTCTGTTTTAGTACACAAATATAAGCAAATTCGGACGCACAACACACACATCTACATTTTTTTTTAAACAAACGAGGATTGCATTATTAACCTGTACTAAAACCTAATTTTTTAAATTTACCTATTTATTTCCTGATTTTATGATTACTTTTTTTCATTATTCTATCTTTCCTCTTGAAGAAGTTGATAGGAACATAGTCTTGGGCATCCCTTGTAATTTTTGTATGCTTACAAAATGCCATTCTTAGAGCGGGAACTTGGCATCAGGAACCTAGAGAGCCATGTCACTCACTAAACACAGAGCAAATGATCAAAATAACAGAGATGTTACCCCAAAGAAGCCAAAGCCCTCAAAATAATGGTTCCATTGATGACACACATACATGTTAAGGACAAATACATTACAGGTGTACAAGAGACACAAAACTCAACACTAACTTAAAGAAGTTAGATGATGGACCGGGTGCAGTGGCACATACCCGTAATCCCACTACTCAGGAGGCTGAGGCAGGAGGATCACAAGCTAAAGCCGGCCTCAGCAAACTCCATGAGACCCTGTCTCTAAATAAAATACAAAATAGGGCTGGGATGTGGCTCAGTGGTTGAGTGCCCCTGAGTTCAATCCCTGGTACCCCACCCACCATCACCAAACAAGGAAGTTAGGTGATGTCTCACTGGCAGGGAATATGCTGATGAATAACAATAGTCTAGTAATTCTCTCTGCAGGTAAGGGGACTATTTCCTTGGGGCCTAAAAATATCTGATGGAAAAGAGGCAGGGATGGAGATTATATTTTATAGAGAGACAGTCTATTCACTATAGAAATGTAATTTTTAACTTGGAAAGTGAAAAAATAACTATTGTTTCCATAATGCAAACTCAGCAAAGCTAAAGAGACTCTCTTTGGCAGGACAAGGTATAGGTTAAAGCAACTGATGAACATCAGACTAGGGATCCTGCCCCAGTCATAACCACCACCAGAGCAGCACCTGGAGGCAGCTTAGGAAAGAGACCAAAGCAGAATGGGGAAGGGGGCCTGGGGAAACCTGGCACACGGACCAGGCACTCTGACTTCAGCCTCTGGCTGGGAAGGCATCAGGGCAACTTCACAAGAGGATTGCAATAGCTCCCTCCACCCCAGTGTGGTAGCCTTACTTTCCTGCCTCATATTTCATGCCATGAAAGAGGCGACAGTGAAGCACAGGCAGAGGAAAACAGCTTTTTGCTGGCACCACGTTCCTACAACAGCCTCTGACAGAGGCTTTAAATTAAGGCCCTCCAGGCCAACCATCTGAGCCATAAATCAGACACAGGGAGTCGCTGGGAGGGGAGGAGGGAACTCCCTTCCCCACCGCTGTGGGGACAGCATGAGTAATGAACCTGACTTCACACCACTGGGGGTCCCGGAGCCCGTGGCAATGTGGGCAGGGGCCAGGTAGGAAGAGGTGCCATCAGTGGTGTGGGCCCTGTGGATGGATTTCTGGAGGTCTTTGAAGGCTGTTCAGAAATGTGTATAGTCAGCTTCTGGAAAGTTTTACAGAAAATAAAATCATAAATGATAAAACTCAGTAATCTAGAAAAATGGAGAGTAGCATGGAATTACGGAGAAGACTAAACACAGGGCTTATTACTTTATTACCCTGTTATTCATCATTTATTTATTTATTTATTACAGTCCCTGTATGTCCAGGTGCCCTCTTAGAAGAAGACAAGGGTGGTTCATCATAATAGCACCGAACCATTTGTGAAGAGTACGCCATGTGTCTTCCATAAAGAAAAACTCCCCTTTAAAATCACCTTTACAACTAATAACATTAAAAGCTAATATTCATTGAGTAAAATGTGCCAGGCAATAGGCTAAAGATTTTACTTCCTAATCTCTCGGCCTGCCTGAGGTGGGGACTATTATGATGCCCACTTGGGAAAGGAGGAAGATGAATTTTAGAGATCATGCATTTTCCCAAATTCATTCTGCAGGAGACAAAAAGCAGCGTGCTGGGAATCCAGTCAAGGAGGACAGTGAAGCCCACCTTGCTAACCTCAAGGCGGTATTGCCTCTAACCACTTGCCATAGGAAGAAAATACATTCATTTTCACAGTGAGCTTTCCCAGGTCAGTACTTTGCAGATTACCTCAATTCTGCTGCATTCTTCTGAATTGACCATATTTTCTCAACTTAAGCACACTACAAAATCTTGTACCTGAGTATTTTTCCTCTATGCCTCCAAAGTAGAAAACTCAAAAACCCAATTGGTAACTTGCTGGCCAGTACAGAACTATAAAATGAACACCAGCAGCTAACATTTACCATGAGCCAGACTTGATACTGGGCGCTCTGCTTCTATTAATCCACGTCCCTGGGCTCGTCCTGCTCCTCCCCTGAGGGAAGGATGCAGAAATTTGATCAAGACCACACAACTAGGAGGCGGCAGAATGGGGACTCCAGTTTGGCTACATCCTTCACCTCTTGCAATGACATCGTTCATAGCCATAGGCTAATCTGATGTTTAATCTAACCTACATTTTCTTTTACTCAGTATATGTAGTAGATTGTTACAAAACAGTCTTCAGTGACTGTGCCTCCCCCTCTTCATGCCTGTTATGATTCAGACAGAGGTGTCCCCAAAATCTCATGTGTGCAACAATGCAAGAAAAATTTGGTGAAATGATTGGGTTATGAGAGCTTTAACCTACTCAGTGCATTAATCCACTGATAGGGATTAACTGGGTGGTACCTGCAGGCAGGTGGGGAGTGGCCAGAGGAGGTAGGTCACTGGGGACGTGCCTTTGGGGTTTATATTTTGTCCCTGGTGAGCACAGCTCTGCTTCCCTATTGCCTTCCTCCATGAATTGCTGCCTCACATAAGGTCAGAGCTATAGAGTTTGCTGTTTGTGAACTGAGAACTCTGAAACTGCAAGTACCAAATAAACCTTTCCTCCCTGGGTCTTTTGGTCACAGCGATGAAAACAACCAAAACGGTGCCTTTTTATAGACCCATTTATACGGACCATGACTGGCTTTGGCCAGGAATGTCACAGTGATGATGCTGGAGGACCAGGGAGACCTTTGGAGGATTTGCAGCTTCCCCTGTCACTTCCTTGGAAGCTGCCCTGAGGCCACCATGTAAGGAAACTGGTCTAGCCTCCTGGAGAAGAGAGGGCACAGACAAGAGAAGCAGTTTAACCATAGCCAGCACCAACTGCCTGACATGTGAGAGGCCATCAGGGATGTTTTGCTCTGCTGACCCTCCATCTGGATGAGACCGCGAGGGAATTTAAGGAAAAACCAGTTAAAGAACCACTGGGCCAACCCATAGGCACATTAGCAAGAATAAATTATCCTATGGTAAGTCAATAAATTTAGAGGTGGTTGATGACATAGTAATAGACAACTGAAACATCTAGATCTGCTCAATTTCTTAATCAATTTATTACATAAGTACTTTTGCAGACCCTGAAAGTCCTTCCATCAACCAACCAATTAATCATCAAATTAATCCTGCAGTGCTTCTCCATCCAAATGCTAATAAGCAAGTAACAAGGGGTAGAGGATCATTCCGGATCTGAGAAGCCAGAAGCCAGACCATCCTGGGGCTACTGTTACCCTCTTCCCTTCTCCATTACCTCCCAAAGGAATCTTAAAATTCACAACTATCAGTTTTCCTAAAAGTCACCTTCCAGAATGCAAGACAGGGTCTCTTCACCACCATCTATTCAAAGAGGGCAGAGTCTCCCAAAGTAGGCACCCACTGTTCTCAAACACTCTGTCTCTGCTTAGGAAAGTTCAGGGAAGGACGACGACAAGATGAGAAGGTCTGCCCAGTCACTATGGGAATGGGCCAGGACCTTCTGCACACACTCGGAAGACATAATAAACAGCAGGGAAGAGGAACCGGGGCTGGCCAGGAGGCATGGGAATCCATGACACACATACCTACACACTCACACAGGCCTACCCTTTATCATCTCATCCCTGGGATGGTGCAGAGAAAAAGTGAGAGCCTGGTCACTCCCTGTGTGACAGCGAGTGACTAAAGCCTCACTCACCAACTTCAGCTGCTAAAGAAGAC